AAATGTTCCCAGTGAGTTGGAAAATCAGAATGAAGCGTTAACCTCCAGACATAGGTTGTGAAGCCTAGAAACTCATACTGCAGTTTTCTGGCTTTGATTTTGATTTTTGAGCTAGTGGTTTCTGCTGTCACCTGTCATTTGTAGTATAGAATCTCCATGACACCCAAAGCCTTCAGAAATTAAAGTTACAGGTTTTTTTGTGGTAAGGTTCTAAAGGGATTCCACATTTCCAAGAATCTACACTTTTCCCTTTGGGGCATGGCAGGACATCCTGCCCCTAGGAATGAGTCATAAATTCCTTCCAAAAGGTTTGACCCTTCACCCTGCCCTCCCTGGCAGTTTCTAGAGTGGCTTTCTCCCTCCTAGGGGAGAAAAGCAATGAACTCCCTTTCTTGGTTGACCTGCACTGCATGATGACTTTTGATTTCACTCATGATGGCAGAACTACTGATGCTAATCCAGACATCTAGCAGCACTTGTCTGGCCCCATTTCACATCCTTCCGGCTCACCGTTCTGCAGCCTGTGCTACTCCAACCAGCACTGCAGCTCCTGCCTGAGCTGCTCCATGCTCGCTCCCTTTCAGCGCGAGCTGCTCTTGTGTGGGACAGGAGAGGCTGCAGGAATCCCCCAAACCTCGGGCATGCAAGTCCTGGAAGTGCATGGAGGTGAATACCCATGGAGCAACCCTGGCTGATGGAGCATGGATGCTGGCGCATGATTTTGAGGTGCAGCATGCAAGACAGAATCAAGCCTGGTTGACCACAGTGGTGACAAGAAAATATGTCCTTACAAAAGCTTCCTCTATCTCCATCTCACTGTTCCAGACCCTATTGTCACTTCCAAAACTGCCTGCAGACCCGTGACTCCAGCTCTGCTCTGGGAGAGGGGATGGGGAGCTCATACCAATCTTCACATTAAACAGAGGCATGTACACCCTGGAAAGTCAATGTTGCCATATAGTCTATCCCCAAGTCAAATTACAACTGCTTCTTGATTCTTCCATTTAAGGAGAATAGTGATTATACGAAGAGTTCCCAAAACAGGTGGTATGGACTCCAACTTGGCACTAGTGAGTTAGGTGAGCCATGCTACACTATTTAACCTATTTGAGCTCAGTACCAGATCTATGTAACAAAGGTGATAAATTGGATTGCATCATTTCTAATATTGCTCCCAGTTCCACAATTACATATTTTTGAAATAAAGGCATCTGGGTGACAATTTGTAATAGCTTCATACCCCTCATTAACCCTAGCCATTGTTTTGGCTAAAAATATAGTAACACTTTAATGCAACTTTAGACAGGCACGTGAATCAGCCTCCTGAAGGTCTAGATTAGAGAATGAGAAGCTATTCAGAACCTCAAAAACCAAAAATGCTGACAAAAAGAGAACAAGCTGGCTTCTTTGGGAGTCAGCAAACATTAGCAGGGGCTGCAGCATTAAGATAAGAAGAGAGTAATGAGAAAACGAGTTGCAACCAACTTCTTGCTGCCTTCCAGCGGTCACTCAGTGATTCGTCACATTCCTAACAGGGCTTGATAAATGAACTCCCAACTTTTGAGATTTCTTCCCTCCTCGCCCCCTTAAAGTTATTTGGAAACTTGACATTTGAAAACTCTTCTACTTTGGGAAAAATAATACAAAGTCCTGCAAGTGTCAGAGACAGGAAATGACATGAGAGGGATACAGGCTGCCATAACTTCCAAATCAAGGAGCATCATTTCAGAAAAAGAAGAAAGATCTGGATCATTAAGACAAATATAAGGCCACAAAACTTGCAAACTAAATAGGTGATAAAACAAGTGATGCTATAGAATCCACTGTTATAAAATGTACAAAACCTAAGGCATGCATAAGAGAGAAAATATAGGTGTAATTTCCATTTTACCCATGAAGAGAACAAGCTCAGAGAAGTAAATAAATTGTCTGATGACACACAGCTAGGTAATGGTAGAACTAGGATTTACAGTATTTCAAATACATTTCAAAACTAAATTTTTGTTTTAGTTATATAAGCGTAGACCTCACAAATCAAATGATCCTAAAAAGTATGTAGCAAAATCAAGCACTGTTTCCCAGATTACTGCCTTTTTGTCCTTTGACTGTATTTCCCAATGCCTTCATTTTTTTATTTTTATTTTGGCCTTCATGTTTTTAATTTCCAACCGCTTTTTTCTCTAGTTACTCATATTACTTCTTAAACCATCCTATTCTTGTTTCAGGGCTGTAATAGCTCTACATGAATATTAACTATAGTTTTGTTTTCTTCCTCTCCCTGTTTTCTCAGAGTTCCATTTTTTTCCCTGTTTGTTCTGGCCTCTCTTTTATATGGGAACTTTTCATAAAATCCCCCACTGTTCCTGGCACCTGTTTGTCAGTAAAAGCAAAGCCTTGGAAGACTAAGCAGGAGTTGTATGTGTGTATGTGTGTCCCAAATACACATTGCATGAGACATATTTATACTAAAAAACTCTTTATCTGAAATTCTAATTTAACCAGGCCACATGTATGTGTGTGTGTGTGTGTCTGTGTGTGTGTGTTTCCCCTCCTAAATCTCATAGTTCTTGGTGTGTGACTTATAAATTAGTTCTTGGTACCTAGCTATCAACAATGCGTTTCAATGCAGACTCATTCTGTTTCACTTCACCCCTCCCTCTGAGCTCTACATCTCATTCCCACCTTGTACTTTTCCCAGCTTAAAAGCTTTTTCTTTCAATTCTCCAGAGAATAAACCTCTGATCTTCTCTGGGAGTTGAGGGCTAGGATCTGACTATGTGATGGAAGAATTTAAGGGCTTTGAATGATTGTGAACCAACGCTTTAGCAACATCCTTGCCCTAACGTTGTCAAGTGTCATATCCACTCATATCCACTGGCATGGCATTCTCTGTCTTTAGGCCCTAAGGAAGGTTCTGCAGGGCAAACCAACTTGCTTCTTAGAGTTGACCACCTCCATCAGTCCTATTGACCACTTCTATTCTGCTAGATTAGTTACTGTAGGTCGGTGAGCCTTCCATTTTCCACACACGTCTCATAAGAGTTGTTAAGAGACATCACTTAAAAGCTGTTGCACGCCCACTCTTTTTCTCCTTTCAGACTTAATGCAGATTTTTTTTCTTTTGAAATGTATTTAGTGCCATTTTCAGTGAAGCTTCAGGATGGAAACTCTCTCTTAGTAATTGAGTTCCTGACCTTCAGCAGAGCACATGGCTACCCAGAACAAAGATTTCCTTACTCAACTTTCCTTCAACTTAAGGATGGCCAACAAACTGTCAGTGGAAGTATTATGTGGTACTTGCAGGTAACTCTTTCAAAAGATAGCTTGTATCTCTTGTTGGTCCTCTCCTTCCTTGTCCCATCCTTTTTTCTGCTACCTGGAATGTGGACATGATGGCTAGAGCTTGAGCATCTCTCTTGGACTAACACGGAAACCTTGTGTTGAAGGTGGCAGCAGTCTTTCATGATGGAAGGAGTCTGGGTCCTTGGAAACTTTACTAATGCTGGATTGCCTGTCTCCAGAATTTTTTTCATGTGACAGAAGAGTAAGTTACTGTTATTTTGGGTTTTCTGACCCATACAATTGATTCCAATTCTACATGATGCAGTGACAAAGTACAGTAAGATTTCAAAGGAGTGCTTCCTAAGGTACAAACTTTGAAAGGGTAGTTTAGCCAGATGTGGAAGCAAAGGGACAGGATGCCACAGAAAAACTCTGACATGACAGGGACACAAAAGGCCCTGGATAAGTATTTTCAGAGGGGAATGTGTAAACCACTCTGATTGGAATAGGTAAATAATGTAGGAGAGAAGTAGAAGATAAAAATGAATAAAGGTTGGGGCAGATTAGGGAGGACCTTGAAGAGGCAAACCAGTTTTAGAGTCTACTTTGAAAGCAACGAAATCAGTGGAGGCTTGTGAGATAAAAGTTGGTGATATATGTCTAGAACGTGAGGGGAGGTTACAGTGAACAGTTTCAGTCTTCTGCATACATAAGCCAAGGGGTAGAGGAAGAATGTGTTAAGAACTCACATGGAGAGCAAGGAGAAAAGATACCTAAAGAGGTTCTAGAAGAGGAGACAGACACGAGAGTAGAAATAGACAAGTCAGTAAAATTACCTCCAGCTAGTTCAGAGAAGCGAGGAAATAGCACAAGTGGGTAAAGGATACTGACTCTGGGGACAAAGGAGTCTCTAGTGACCTCTGAAAATACACTTGAGGAATGTGAAGGGCATTCTGTTCTTCAAAGTGTCAGTGGAAAATACAGGGACTAATGTGTTTCATTTGTTTTAAAAGGTAGGCAGTAAAAGGAAGGTAAATTGAAAAGCAATCAAAGATCTCCATGGGGTCAAGTGAAAGAATTTTTTGAGGAATGGAAGTTGTTTGGTGTTTAACGAGCAAACTGGATCAGAAAAGGAAAAGATTTCCAGGCCACTCAAAGAGAGGCACAGAATTTCCAGTTCAGAAGGAGGTCTGTACTTTGGAAAAAATGGGGCAGTTTTTGTTAGATAGAGGAGAGGCAAGGAATGAGCCTTGGAGTTCCAGTCAACCTTTTAGTAATAAGTCTTTTCTAATAGCACCATTCATGTCATTATATATCTGACCAGAAATGAAAAGTCTAAAATGTTGGGTTGTAAGAAAAGTATTTTGCCAGAAAAGTATGATGTATTTTTCCTATGCTTTTCAAGCAAAAATGTGTCATGACTTTTCTGACAACCCAAGAGCAATCTAAGTCAATCTCTGAAATTAAGATGGCTAAAACTTAGTTTCAGAGTCGAATCCCAAACAAAATTCATAAAACCAATGAAAATATAAATCTTCTCTTATACACACCATCTTAATGAAACTATTTAGATGAGGGGAAACAACAGAAACTTTAGCTCGTTTGTACACTGGTGTCAGTACTAGAATAACACGCGACCTCTAATATGGACCTGGAAATTAATTACAGGATGGACTTCAGATCTCCATTTGTCAAATAGAACAAATGCCAATACCTACTCAAAATACAGCGTGAGGTCTGTTGCCAATATTGACTGCTTCAAAAGCTGCATAAGGTCACTATATTCCTTGGAGGACAAATTAGCAAAGATGTTGTGACCCTGTAATGAGAAAGAAAAAAGTCACAAAAGGCAACATTAAATTTGAGGTTTTTTTTTTCTATATGGAAAAAAAAATCAGGAAACATAATAAAACCATTTTTTAAAAAGCTCACTGAAATTTTGTGCGAATACGAAAAGATTCCCTAGCAAACTGAGAAAGTGTAAGAGTTTAAAGGGGTCTACTGAGGGACACCTTATTATGTTTGGTCTTGAAGAAAAAACCCTGAGATATATCTGAACTTCTTTTACTTTAGCTATGTTATGACAGCAGCTTCAATGGACCCCTCATTTCCTGTGTAATTACTGAGTAGAGAAGTTGACAAAACATTTGGGAATCTTTCTGACCCTAAAATAAACACCAGTGTCACTAGTGATTTAAGTTGACATTTTGGAAATGCTTGCTGTGGTGACAAACATCTTTAAAGAAGAGAACAAACATCAGGTCAGAGGTTCTCAACTTGGGAATGACTTGGGGACTTCATGCTGTCTAGAGACACTGTGGATTTTCACTGGTGGGGAGTGCTGCTGGCATAGCGGGGAAGCTCTAAGACATCCTGCCATGTACAGTTCAGCCCTACAACAAAGATTCACCAGGCCCAACACGTCAGTGACTGTTGGAATTAAGAAGCCCTAAAGCTACAGCTGGATGAAGTGCATTAAGAGAGATTAAATCCAGGTCAGTGAATAGTAACTGAGTAACTAAAATCCTTTAAGATTTACCTGCCACAGTTCTCAAGACTGTAAAGATGATATTTACTAAGGAAAACATGCAAAATATGGGTAGATTCCATAGCTCTTAGAAAGCACTTCTTTTCGTGAAATTTATTCTAGCTATACTAAGCACCCTTACAATCTCTTTGACAATGTGAAAAATCTTTGTGCAGAAGTGACAATTCACATAATTTGCTGTGAAAATCAGGACTTTTCACTTACCAGGTTTTCTTAGTATTAAATATAAACTCATATAACAGTTGGTCCTGGATCTGGACCAGCTTTAAACCTCGTATGGACAGCAATAAGATGATGCAGAAGGAAGGGGACCGAATAATTATATGAGCATGAACTATTCTTCAATGAGAGGTAAATTAATTGTTTCAGGGACACAGATATCAATTAGTAAATTACCTCTTACCGGGCACCAGTAGATGATAATTTGCTCTCCTTAGTTAATTTATCTCATTGGGTGAAACTGCCACTCCTGAAAGACTACAGTATATTGGTTCCACCTGGGACCAGGTCCAATAGTAATAATAATTTTCAAATGAACTCTTCCAGACCCTTAATTCAGCCATTAGGAAGAAGACAAATAACTACAGGAATGCCACACCATAATTCTGCCCAGTTTTCTTGTCCTGAGTCTTGCCCCATGGATTAATCACAGGCTGGTGTACTGGGATCTGGAAAAAAATGGTGGGAAGCTATGGCAAAGGAGTACGAGAGTCCAAGCCATCGGCTTGAGTCTCCCCATAAAAAGAAAATCTGGCCATTTCCAAGTTACAGGATGGTGTAATGTGAAGACAAGGAGAAAGCTGATCTGAATTTGAAATTCCTGCTAATTTCATAATGGTCTGAATTTTACTATTTTAAAAAGTTATAGATCTAACTTACAGTTAACAGAGTGACAAAGCAAATCAAATCAACATTAGATTAAAAAAAAGTTAATTTGCATGTAATGTATTTTATATGCAAATCACTTTCTATAATGTCTCAAGGGTTTGGCCCCTGAAGTAGATTTGTCTTGTTAGAATACGTCTACTCTTTGTTTAGGGAGCAGCCAGTGTGCAACTGATGGAAAGAAAACCAGATGTGGAAGGAAGGAAGGTCCTGGCCACCTTTCTTCAGGCCATGGAAGCTCTGTGCTTCTGCCTCATTTGCACATTGTCACTGTGACACTTTTCAGATGGGAGGGACAGAACAGGTGTGGGGACAGCACCAGACCCAGACCTGCAAGGCACTTGTTCAGGCAATGTTCATTATTATTATGTTATCCTTTGTTCTTCACTAGACTCCAACTGGAGAAGTGCCCATGTTTGTAAGAAGAAAATTCTGAGCCAGTGGTATTTGAGTTCCCCAAGAAACAAATGTCCTGCTGAGAAGACCTTGACATTCTCTTATAATCCCTGTCATTACAAAGGTGGGAGCGAGAGGGAAACAGAAATGCACCATATTTTCAGTGTAGGAGAGTCTGATCCCGCCTTTCTCACATCCCTACACCCCTCGTCCATAGCATTCAGCTAAAATATGGCTTTTATAGGAAAATCCAGAGCCACAGATGCCAGCAGTTGGTTTCTGTCAAAGTTACTGAGAGCCATACTCTTGAGATTTCACTTCCAGCTGAAAATACATAACCCCCAGCAGGTTTGCCCTTGCCCTTCCCAGTCCCAGTCAGGCCACAGTGCAGACTCGCCTTTATGGGGTCAGAGGCGGCTTTCATGATATTGCAAAAGACATGCTTTCTCGAGATAGGCTGGAAGAAAAAAACCTTCCATATTTAATGATGCTATTCCAGCGAAGCAAGGCCTTAATGATGATAATAATAATAATTAATGGCGCAGCTAGAGAACTGACAAATAATGGGGAACAGATGATCCCTCCCTGGCCTAAAAAAAAAGTCTGTATGCCTGCAGAAAATTAAACAGATTTCCTTTCCTGGCAATTTCAAACTCAGACGCCTTAGCCAGAGTAGAGTGGTTTTTCTTTTTCTCTGTGGAGAGCTAAATGTATAAAAGTCCAGATTCTTCCAACTCCTCCTGCTACATGGAGCAAAATAAAGCTTATGGCGTTATGGGTCTCAAATTTCACTGTAGCTCTTAGGTTCAAACTGGTCCCACCTTTTATAGGTTTTTCAATGGTGCTAATAAAGTGTAACTTTCTCACCCTGTTTTGCTTCCACCATCTTTTAAAATGGCATTGGGTTTCACAAAGTGGGGATGTTGGACCACTCACTGCTGGGATCGTGTCATTCTTGGATTGGCTTCTCCACCCCTCACAGATGGTGATACCATCCTCTCATGATAGGCGATAAGCCGTCTCCTCTGCTAAGTGAATATGAAACCCAATGAATTATCTGGTGGAAGAATTTGAATGAGGTCCTTGGCCAAGCATCTGAAAGAATTTTCAAAAGCCACAAAGAAAAGGGGCCAATAGTTTGGCTTGAAAAAAGACTCCTGCCTTCTCTGCATCTACTTTATGGCACTAGAAAGAAAGATGGAAACATCATTCCACTGGCTTTCTAGCAAGGGGGGAAGCAGAACCTTAGGTGTATACCTCACTTTGAAGGATCATGACGGCATGGTTAAAATGGTGATGCTCTAAGGTAGCAGAGGTTCCATAGAGTTGGGCCAAGGCAGAGCCGCTCCTGAAAGAGGACAAAAAAGTGAGTGAACCAGGACCTTCACCTGCCAAGGAGTCCCCTGCACACCAGCACTTTGGCTCAACATGCTTTGGCAAAGAACCAAACATTGTCATGGAACTGCTTGTGTAGTCCATTCGTCTATGAAGTAAGAAGCTTCTAGGTGTTAGGCTAGATGCTTGGGATAATACAGCGGTGAACAGAATACTTCATGACTCTAAAAAATGTACAGACTAGTATGAGAGATCAGATGTGAGCATAGAGGAAATAATGTACACAGCATGCAATACAAAATCCATAGCAAGTGTTTCAGTTCAATCAAAGTGTCCTGGATGATCTGAAGCCAAGAGAGAATGTCTACCTGTCAGGATCAGAGTAGGCTTCAACAACTAAACCTCACACAGCTTCTGAGTGTCTAGAACAACTGCCTTCTACCAAATGTAATTTGGGACAAAAACCCATGTGACAAAAACCCTGTGACTATTATGCAGAACCCATTTAAACTACATTACACATTAGACTGACAGACTTCTGTGGCTTTTCAGTCCATGGTCACACCGTGATAACTTATTGTAGAACTCTGAAAAGTTCCTGGAATTGGAGTCAGACCTCCACTCTTGGTGGTAGCTTTGGATGGTTACTTGGTTGTTTTAAGACTCAGCTTCTTATTTCTCTAAATTTACAATAGATAATACTATCTACCTATTACTTATGAAAAAATATAATCTTTCAAAGTGCCTTCCTTGTGTCTGCCATGCAGGAGGTGGTAGTCAATATTAATTATTGGTCAACAGTTAAAAATCATGGCTACTTCCATTTTAAATCAATAAAATGTTAATGTTTGGAAGGACTATTTTGAACTATCTGTAAATTTTACTTATGCCGAGCAACCCTTTTCTCAACCATGTCAGATCTGGTTAGTGTATATTTAAAATGTTTACCTGCATTAATTTCCATTTATTTCGGAGTAGCATTTATAACATTTTAAGAGTTGAGAGAGAGCCCAGAGAACTCTATGGGTTAAAGCGCAGTCACCGGACTTCAGGGTGAGTTCCCATCCAGGTACTTCTGATCTTATTTGCCCATTGCAAGGTTTTTGGACATTGACAGGGAAATATGACTTGAGCTGGAAATGCTGGAGCTTGACAGTTTAGTCTGTCCTGCAAGTGACATGATCAAGGCTTGCATCTAAATGTAAGGAAACATCTCAGACTTTAGCTCCTTCCTTCTCCAGTCGGTTTGGGACCTGTGAGCTCAGAAAGCTGACTGCATGCTGGGAAAAACAGCAGATTTAGGTTCACTAGAGATTATTGTGAAGAGGCATAGTATGGGAAGGGACTAGTTTTGAAGCAGGTATATGCTATTTCTTTAAATGTTGCCTTCATCTATGGCATTCAACAGACAAAAACTTGTTAGGCTAATCTTAGTAATCAGTAAGTGACAATGTTACTGTTTTTCAAACAGTTCATTTTTATAAAAATTTAGTTTTCAAAATGCACACTGTATGCCTTTGTTTTGACTTCTGAAATTCTAGGATGTTTATGTGCATATTACATAGGAATGACTGGCCTGGAGTAGGTGCTTAAAAAATATTAGCTGTTTGTTAGTAAGTTTGCACTGGGATGTTTGGAGATTATCGTTCACATTGAAAGGTTGACAGTAATAATAATAATATTATAGTCACAATAACTGCCATGATTAAGTACCCTTCAGGCACTGGGCAACCTAATAACTTCAGACGTTATTTCAGCCAGCTCTAACAACAACCATGAAATAGGTATTATTTTCTCATAGTTGAGGAAAACGGAAAAGTTACATGGTGTTTCCAAGGTCACACACCTAGTAAGTATCACTTCTAGATTAGAATCCACTTTTTAATCTCCTTCTCATTACATAATGAGAATAATTATAACCGGTACATTTCTCATATGTGATTTTCCATTTTTGCCAAGCTGGTTGTCATCAATGAGAGATTTCAAAATTAATTTAGATCTCTACTAGTATGCCTGCCAACCACAGGCTCAGATTACCGAGATTTGTTTCTATTAGCCAGCTGTGCCCAGATGAAATTCACTTATTAGAGTGAATCCTGATAACAGTCACTGAGGTAAGGTAGGGTCAAGATGAACACATTATTTCTTCCTTTATCCCATTGGTTTAGCAGTCCCCACAAAAGCTAGATGGTAAGAAATCACTTTATATTTTCTTATTTTCAGACTGAGCAGGGTGCTTTCTCCTTTACCAAGGGGACATCTTGTCAAATAACACCTGCGCTTCCGTGCTGCCCCCTCACCCCCGACCGGACCCCTGGTCCACATGGCCTCTGAACCGCTGTGCTTCACCAGGTTCACAATACTGATTTAGTCACAACATATGTCATTTTTGCAATACATACTAGGGATGTTCAGGAAGACACTACATTTCATTCATTCATCTGTTATTCATGACTGTTGTGCTAGGTCACAGGTATGTGGAATACAAAAGGTAAATAAGACACAGTTTTTACCCATAGGAAGCTCACCGACCCTTAAAAGTATGTGGGAGACTTTCTGTGATTAGTCCTGCATTCACAGTGCTTGCCTTTCTGCAAGCAAGGGATTCTGACACCAACTCTACTTACAGTTTTTTTCAAGAGTAAAATTATCTAAACAACATGTTTCCATTTCATGTGGATCCCTTAGCTTTGGTCTCTGTCAAGATTTTTAAGACTGAAAACCTCTTGCTTCTTTCTCTTTGAGGTCAAGGTCATGGAGAATGCTACACCTGCCATTACAGACCCATCTGCTATGAACCTCCGAGGGCTACAGGAGTGAAATCCACAGTCTGTAAGTAACTGAACTTGGTACAAGTGGTAAAAAATAAAGTCTATTTGTAGGGATAAATTTCATCAAAAAGAATTCTGCAGAATACCAGTTCTCTAGAATGGCATTATGGGCAGCAATAAAAAGAGTTCTATGGTCAAATATGGTTGGGAAATACTGGGATTAAAAAGCTAAATGATTTCCTTATTGCAGATTTTCCCAACAGTGTCAACATGTGGAAATACTATTATTCTGCAGGAAGGGAGCACAATAGATAGTATTACCAGTCTTCCTTGATCATAAAACCACCTCTTTCATGTCATATACTTTGCATAAAGGCATACTTCCACTTTTCCATGTAAACTATGAGGGGAAAAGTGTCAATCGTATATAGAAAAAATTGACTTTAATACCACCCCTTATTGTAATTATATTCATCATCTAAGTAGCTGTGAATTTTGCACAAACAGTGCACATAAGTGTACACACTGTAATTGTGAACATATGATTGCATATGTAGGATGTGTGGAAAGGAGAGAAAGAGGAGTCTCAAAATTCCATAAGCACAAGAATATTTATACATGTGATTATTGGTGGTACACACAGATGATTAAGTCATCCCGACCTCTTAAAGTGTTTATGTTTGACAGGCAGTACACCAAGGTGAAAATTACTGTAAGAAAAGTTCAAGTGTTAATTCTGTCCTTACAGGCTCTTTCAGTGTTGTGCACAGACACCAAAAATTAGTGTGCAAAAGGAAATATGCCTTCATAATTCCTCTAGCTAGGCATATTCTTTGAAAGAGAGTTAATGGAAGTATGCATTCTTAGCTTACAGGAAATTTTAAAAAGAAAAACTCTGAAAGGTAATTAGAAAGTTGAGAATTGTTGGGAGGTGCTGAGGAATAGGATTAGGCTGTCACGGCAGATTAATGTGCCCGAGTATTTCACTTCTGGGACCTGGCCGAAAGCGACAAGATGGGTTTTCATTCCCAAGAAATGAGTATAAGAGATTATGCTAGAAATGAATAGAAGAAGTCTCCTAGGAGAATATACCACAAAGCTGCTCTGTACCGATATTTAATCATCAGGGGCAGCTGTAATAGAGAAGGGGATGAGAGGGAAGTGCTGTCTCTTGAGAAAACAGGGGAGAGGTGTTAACAGAGCAATTTCAAAGCACGGTGGTATCGCTGCCCTCTCTTTACCTATTGATCATTCACTGCACGCACTCTAGTACTTAAAAATTAAGAATAAAATATGAAAATGCAAAGGTTCACTTATCAGAAAGGCTAAGGGAATAAATCATATTGTGCTATAACTAAAGTCACAACTTTTTATTATAGAGGCATTTTGCATTTTATATAGTAATTTGTCCCTTGCTAAATGTCTCCTGTTTCTTTATAGCCCTACATATGAAAAAAAAAAAAAGTAGCATATGCTTCACCACATAATAATTGGTGCATGTAAATCCCATTTCCAAATCACCTGAAAGGTTGGTGTGAGACTGAATACTTTTAGGGACTATTTGTTATACTTCTTTATTTCCCCTACAATGCCTAGCACAGTGCCTTGTACCTAAAGATTATTGGGAATAAAAAGAGAAAATAAAGATACAGATTTCTCCCCTGGGATTTTCTAAACAATGCCACACTTATTGATTAAATCTTATTCTAATCAATAAAAAAGTAGTAGGCTTCCCTACTATATAGAAAGATCTCTTTCAGCATTCATTGTGGAAAGGTTGTAACTGTGGTCAGGTGATGTGGGGGTAATAGGTGTCCTGAGTTCAAAGGTAACTCCATTAGGCAGAAGCAGGGCCGATGGATCTCCCACGAGCTGGAAAATTGTGTATCATACTAATTGTCATAAGTAAACACATCAGGCCTTCTTGGATCAGTAGATGGGAACATGTGGAGGAAAAAGAAGAAATTGAATTATAGTATCAACAATTTAATATCTCTCAGATGAGTGAAAGCTGGCTGTTCAATTATATACAAACTGAGATTTGTGAGCCTTAGTTTTAATTTTGTAAAATTAAGGTCTCAAAAAATATAACTACTGAGGTTTAATTTAATTCCATTTTATCTTTTTTATGGCACCACATCATGGTTTTCTGGATGTCAAAATATAGTTTAGTTTCCCAGAATATACACATATATCATAAGTCAGCCAACAAACTGGAAGCCCAAAATCCACAAATAAATATCACAAAACCATGCAGAAGAGTATCATGCAGTGATTAAAGAAAGGCTTTTGGAATCAGCACCAAACCAAACACTGCTACATCCCAGATGTGTGGATTTGAACAAGTTCTGACATTCCTAGGGCTTATTTCTTCCCATAAAATAGACACAGAAATATCTAGTATTCTACAGGGATATTGGTGAACATTTGAGATAGTAAACAACTATATTGTAATTCTTATTGTCTCTGGGACCATTGATTTTGAAGAATAGAAATTAATTAGGACCAGCTTTACCGGAAAAAACAGGCCCTCCCTGATGGCGCAACGGGTTAAAGCACAGCACTATACTACTGCAGTCTGAAGCTACTGCAGACACTGCAGCATGAGTTAGATCTCAGCCAGGGAGGTGACCCACATGGGGCAGCAGACCTCTCCCGTCTCGCCCACTGTTTCCTTCAGTAGTGTTTTTCAGTAAATTTGCCTGTTCTGCTCCCCACTCTGTCACTGTTGAATCCTTTCACCTACCCATACCTCTGGCCTGTACCCCAGTTCTGTATGCATAAATAAGTAAATCTTAAACAAACAAACAAAACCCAACACTGATTAAATGATACCAAGAGATCAGGGGGAGCCCAGTTATGACAAGTATGGCTGGGTCTCCTGAAAACTGGAGTAGAGATGTGTAAGAAGCAAGTCTACCTCTCACCTCTGTCTCTTGGCTACGCACCTCTCCTCTTTGCAGACTGGCTTTCTTATTTCTCTCAGCCACCGGGGATGTGGTCCTAATAGTGTTTCCCACATGGCAGTCTCTGCTTCAAGCCCACATGGCCTGCAGCTTAGACCCCTACAGCTGAGTCAATCATGATCCAGCTCCAAATTCCTGATGATGAAGTAATGCTAGGCTGGGTTTTGATTAGGGTGAATTCTTGGTCCAGCTGGCACGGAGGACATTCTCTCTTCGTATGGCAAGCCCTCTCTCTGGGTTGTAGCTGACAGTGGTGCTGGGATCTAAGTTTTAAGTGTCTTGTGTTCAACTCTAAACGAATTACATGGAGCTCCCCTGACTTTATAGACACCATTCTAACATTTTCCTCCTTTTTAAACAGAGAAGAGTCAGACATTGGAGAGAGCGCCCTAGAAACAGATGCATTGACAATGATGCCTTTGGCTTGATAAAAATAGATGAATACTAAATAACAATAATAATGAAATGCAGAGATGCAGGGATTCAAAGCTAAAGAGCTTACAGATGCTGTAATGAACACCAACACAGTGGGCCCCAAGAATGCTACTGTCTTTTGTACAGCAGCAAACCTACTTATAAAATTATTTTGTAAGGATCTGTAAAAGGTTATACTTGTTTAGTAAATCAGGAAATGTTGTTGAAAAGTTCTATTAAAATAGTTAAAATGTCATCAATTCACATAGTCATACATACAGCAAATATTTAATGTGTGTGTATTAGTTCTCAGCTTTTGCTGTACATCACAGATGCTCAGTAAGAAGGGCGAATCAAACACCTATGTGGATGCACAAAATGACTAGGAATAGAATTCTGAGGTGGTATTTACAGAGCAGTTTTGGGTGAAAGGGAATTCCAGAGAAAGGGTATTCTAGGCATCTGGAACAGCATACTGAGGAGCAGAGGGAAGTGATCCAGCTAGCACCCATTGTGCATTTAAAGTGGCCCCTTGGGTCTGGAACATAGACCTGATGAGCGGGGGTTGGGGTGAGGGGAGTGGGTCCTGGGCCAGAGATATGGGCAGGAGGCGGAATGAAAGGGGCCAGTGCCATAGGGGTTACACTATGGAATCTGAACATTATCCTGACAGTCACAGGAGGCCAGTGAATGACTTTTCAACATCAAGGGGATCTATTTTCTGAATTACGATGATTATTTTGGAGTCTGGGGTTTTGGAGGGAGATAGGAATAGGTGAGTTGAGCTACTTTTTGTATTGAGTCAGGAGAGATGCAAGGAAGCAGAAATTAATGTAAGAATTCAGAGATGTCAAATTTGAGGGATGCCAAGGAGGAAATCCTGTGGGTTTCTGGAGGTGCCATTCACTGGTAGAGAGAATAGAGAAAAGGGGCAGGTGTAAAGGGAAAAGCTGAGCTCAAAGGACTGGGATTTCCAATTGGAGGTGCTCCTTAAGTAGCTGGAATAGATGTCCAGGGGTCTGTAGAGAATTGTGGCTCAAGGAGCTCATCAGCAAATGGTGGAAGTCCTGCAAGTAGAGCTGAAGGGGACATGGAGAGGACATCCCCAGTGATGCCGGGGGCAGAGGTTGAGAGACCTTGAAGCAAACTGAAAAGAAAGGCAAAAATGGAGATAAAAAAGAATTACAGGAAGTGCCAAATGTGGCAGTGGCAAAATGGGCCCAGAAAGAGGCTACCAGAGTGTCAAAACTTTGGATAAAAGACTGCTAGTGGCATTGCCTAGGGCATTCCCCTGGTGAGGAGGAAATGGAATCATATGCTGGAAGGCAGGGGTGGGGAAAAGAAGACAATGAATGCAGAGCACTGTGGATAAAGATTCACTGGAAAGAAAAGAAAACAAAACTGGAGGGTGAAATAGAGAATGAGGTGCCTTTCGCAAGATGCATCTTAAAAGGGTCCTATTGATAGAAGCTGAGAGTCAGTAGGAAGGGGAAAGGAGACAGATGCGGGGAGAGGAAGACTGGTGGAGCAAGGCCCTGCCACAGGGAAAGAGAAGGCCAACATGGAGGGAAGCCCTCAGGCTAGAGGAAGGTCAGTTCTTTCACTGAGAGGAGGAAGGAGGAAAGGATGGAGTCAGACTGATATAAGTTTGCACATAGCAAGGGAGGAAATTGGGAGGTCTCGATTGATGGCCTCAATTTTCTCCAGGAAGGAGGAGGCAAGGTGATCTGCTGAGTGGTGTGGGGGAGCTGCTAGAGCAAAGAGGTGGCTTAGGAAGAGAGAGTGTGGTATTGTGACTGCTAAGAGCCATGGGAGCCGACGGAACTGGCTGGAGACAGAAAGACTGTGGGGAGTTCTGAGCGTCCAGCTGAGTTGGGAGAATATGTGTGTGTGTGTGTGTGTGTGTGTGTGTGTGTGTCTCAAACTCACAACTGTGACGTTTTCTCCCAAAGCTTTTAAAAGTCTTGGCAGAGTAGCAAGAAATTGAATTGCTAGATTGTATGAGGGCTGAGTTTTTAGAGTGGTTGTCACAGAAAGTTCGACTGACAACTGTAGAACATGGCGCAGAGAGAGTTGGAGGGCTAGGCTATAGGATGTAGGACAGAGAAGGACACAAAGTCAGATTTCATTTGTTAGAAGCAAGTGGCATTCTGGCCTTCATAGGTAGGTGTTTGGGGGAGCAGAAGAGTGGTGAGCTGACTGGAACCTGCTAACATCAGAGCGCTGCTGAGGTTATTGGAGACTGAAGCAACCTGTTCTGGGACCTTGGGAGTCTGGCACTGAGAGCTGACCATGTCTTCCTGAATTCTCCCTCCATGCTCCACCCCTCTAAGCTCCACGTCATTTTGTTTGCAGGGAGGAGGCATTAAAGTACATTAAACCTTGGCCCTTGGCATGAGCCAAGAGACCTGGATTTTGGTCTTATTTTCAGCACTCTTCTGTGAGCTTGGCCACAGTTTGCACCACCAAACAAAGGCTCTCCTGACCAGTCCGCATGCTTAGGGACAGGTTATTCTGCCCATGCACAGTATGGGTTTACATGCTGCCTGTCTTGATATAATTTTGCTGTCTGCCCACCTTCCTGTGGGAGAAGGATGGGAGAAGCAGAGCCCGAGTTCCTTACTGCTCTTTCCATTGTTTTATCCAGTACCAAAAGAATCCTGGAGCGATTCTACTAGGGAAGGTTATTTTGCTTGATAAATTTTCCTAAGTTCATTTATATTTTAAAGCTCTCAAAACCAGATTTTGAGAAAACAGCAACTCCCAAAAGCTTATAGTGCCATGAAGGCAACTATTCTGGGAGGAGGAAAAAAAAAGGCCCTTTAAAATCTGAGCTGGTGTCTGACGGAGGTCAGCAGAGACAGACCAAATCAACAAGCATGACATGAAGGGCAAATTTGCAATTAAAAGAAGAATAGGGAATTATAAAGATGGATGGGCCCCACTCCACGGATGCCCAGGCCTGCGTGGCCTTGGCCTCAGATGCCAGAAATTAATGCTTTACTCTTTAGCACTCGTCACCTTTGGCTCTGAACAGAAAGGCAAATGCATTAAAATAACAACAATTAGAGCACTTACTTAGCTTGGAAGGCATTGTTGGTTCCCCTGTGGTCGAGGTCATGACACAGGCAGCCCACAATCACTGCTAAAATTTCCACCTCGGTCAGAATCTCCTGAAACCCAGCGGTCTGGAAAGAAGGGAAAATGGCAGCAGTCACTACTCGGGCCAGAGAGGATGGGTAAGGTTCGTCAGGTTAGTAACAATCAGCTCTGTTCATACCCACATCCACATCATTTTAGGAAATGATGAACTGCCACCCTACGCAATGGGGAGCTGGGTGGTCCGCTGCTTAGCTAAGGTCCCAACAGTGATGAATGAACTCACTGCCACGGAGGCCCACGCTGGCACACCGGACAAAGTTCAGACTATTTTGTTCCCTTTTTCAAGAAGAGGCTGCACCAGCCAGATACAGTGACAGTTTGGCAAAAGCCCAGAGCCAAATGTGTTCTCTGCTTCTACATTCCATGAGCATTGTGCTCAGTGCTGCAGGGAGAGAGGGGGCTGGGACTTTAGAGCTGAATGTCCCCACCAGCTGCCATGCAAATGAAAGCTGGCCGAAATGAGACCTTTAAAAAGGTATTAAGATATAAACATATATATGAATAAATAAAATGTAAATCTAGTCATACATACATTATCAAGTTAATACATAATGTATCTTCTCGGTTGGCAACTTCGAAAGCTCCAATTATTACATGATGATATTTTAGAAATTATCTGGTAAATACCTTAATTCAGATCAGTTTGGTGGGCAGATGAAGTTTATACAGACACAGAGGCAGTGCATGTCTTGAAGGCTAGAATTTGATAGAGGATTAGGCAACCCTTGAGGATCAGGTGGAGTATCCATTACATGGAATTCTTTTTTTATTATCGTCTGGTAGCTGACTTGTGAAATGCATAGCGTGGCGTGATTTCTTCTGGGAGCTGTGTAATTATGGAACCCAGGGCAGCGATGGGTCTTTGGTTCCTGCTGGTCCTGCCATTAGTTTAGAGGAGGAAGCACAGCTCTGCAAAACAAGTCTATCCATTTTCCTGAGCCGAGGCCTTTATGTCTCTCCCTTTTACTTTGCAAGTCTCCCATTTCATTACTTATTAAAATCTTTAGCCGAGGGCAGGAGGAGGGGAAAGGTAGGGTTCAAATTGCTTCCCTTTTCATGTGTTTCCCCCCCAAATCTAAGATCATGAGCTAGTATTTGTAAGACATTGTCTTAAAGCAGTGAAGACTTTTTTTTATTAGTTATGTTATTACTGCAGAAATAACTGAACAAGAAGCTTCTGCATTAACAATTTTGTTTTTAAAAAATAATTTGGGTCCCCTGCTTCATGTAAAAATACATATAATTTCATTTGTGTAAGGGCATGTGACTAAATTATCTGGGAGAAATGAAAGGTTCGTTACAAAGCTGTGTGTGTGCAGCCCCGCTTTAAAATTGGGAGCTGGCTGTTGGTTTTCAATTAATTTTATTTTATTTAAATTATTATTTGCAATAGTTTTAAGATTCAAATGTAGTAATAATTAGAACCAAAAATAGCAGTCCTCATTCTGCCTCTTTCCTAATTCCCAAAGATAATTATATTCTATTTTTATTTTATGTAATTTGGTTATGTGCTTTCTACCATATTTTTATATGTGCTTATTATTCATCACACGCACATTGTCCTGCCTATGGGCATGACACTGTCCTATAAGCTTTACAGTTGTTTAACTTATGTCATTCTAAAATCGCCCTATGATGTAGGAACTATTATTATCCCAGGGTTTGATGAGGAAACTGAAGCACAGGGAAGATAACGTATGTGCCCAAGTTCTCACAATTAGTAAGTGGCAGAGGTGGGCAAACTCCCTGCATATTCAGGCCAGTGAGAATTTATCTTCACCTCCACCCTGCCCCCTCCTCTTCCACTGGCATCCACACCCAAGCTTCCTGGCAGTGGACTCTGTGAGTCACTGTGGAGCCACTGTTCTCTATTCTTATGTAAATGATTTCATTTCCTGCAGGTAAGATTTCCTTGCAGGTGTAAGTCTTCTGCACCCTTTCCACTCTCTAGTCACTTCTTTTATTGGCTCTCAAGCAGGCCTGGCCACTCCCTCCTGAGCCTGCCCCTACTCTGCTCTGGACTCCAGCTTCCACCTTTTCTCTCCTGGGTTCCATCTCCCTTTTTGTTTTTTTTTTTTTTGAGGCTTTGCACGACTGAAAATGTCTTGACTATATTTTCCTAAACAGCTGTTAGTGTGCCTAACAACACTAGGTTGAAACATTTTTGCTGAGAGTTTTGAAGGACTGCTTTATTGTTTTCTAATTTCCAAAGTTGCTTTTGAGAAGTTTATATTACTATTGTTCTAATAATTTGAATGTTCCTGGATTTTCTCTCCTTTAGAATCTCCAATCCATGGGATTTGGCAATTTCACAAAAATGTGCTTTAGTTTGGGGCTTCAAGCCCCATCATTTTGCTTGATTAAACCTTTTCAATCTGCAGGTTAATCTTCTTCAGTACAATGCACTTATCATTTAAAAAAAAAAAAAGTATTTTCCTTGTCACAATTTTTTAGGTCACATTTTAGCTGTCAGGTGGCTAAATAATCAATTTCTTGGATTGATTTCTGGTTTCTTCTTCCCCAGTTCCCACATTTACTTTCCCCCTCTTTCTAGGAATAATAACTTTTTCCGTTTATAAACATTTTCTCGTCAGCTGTCCCTTTCTAATAGCAAGTGATTCCTCTCTCTCGGATGCATTCTAGCTCATCTAATGTTTACACCAGTGCCTGATGAACACCCCTGGTATTTTTAAATGTGATCCATGTCCCCTAGACTTTCCAGGCCCCTCCCAGAACTGAGAATGAAGAAACTCTCCTCATACCCTGCCTGTCCCCAGGCCCTTTTCTTTCTCATATAATCTTTCCTCACCACTTGAGGAGACAGCCTTACTAGCTCTGGTGACCTCCCTATGTGGCTCTGCTCATTGACTTTTTTAAGCACCTCCATGGTGAAGACCCTCTCATGGTTCTAAGTCTGGCTTTCTGTACTCGTGATATGACCAAGGGAGAGGTCATATCGACAGAGGGAGCATCGATGCCTTTATCTGCCATCCTGAACCTGTGATTTGTTTCTACTGTGTTTGGATCTGTCCGACACAAGTAAATCCTGAAAGTCTATCAAATGTGAAATAACTATCCAAAATATTGTGGAAATCAGTGTTTTAAACAACAGTAAAACTGCCCTGATATTTAGAAAGATTTTTGTCTGTTAGTTATTAGAATTGTAAATCAGAAAAGAAAGAATAAAGGTGGGATGTTAAAATGAGGCTATTTGACTAGAAATTTAGCTAGAAATTAAAATCAGGGCACTCTCTGGTGGTGCAATGGTTAAAGCACAGCATTATGAGGCTATCCACAGCCACTATGGTAGGAGTTTGATCCTGGCCAGGGAGCTGACCCACATAGCGCAGCAGACCTCTGCTGTCCTGCCTGCTGCTCCCCTCAGCAGTGTGTTTCAGTCAGTCTGCCTATTCTGTTCCCCATTCTGTCTGGGGTGAATCCTCTCACCCACTTAACCTCTGGCCTGTTCCTACTTCTTGTGTGCATGAATAAATACATATTAAAAAAAAAGAAGAAATTAAAATCAAATGCCATCTAACAAACTCAAGATTAAAATCCCAAACCATTCCTAAGCCATCAGTTTTCATCCATTAGTATAATAAGATGGAATGTATTATATTATCATGTTCTATGCACCCACCTTCCCCCTCATCCCTTCCTGGAAATTCAACATCTCATTTGTAAACTACTTGTATCATGGATATGTTTAAGAATTTGATGAAAGACCTGGACCCTTTTCCCATACATTCTTCTATAACCTCTGGAGCCCCAGAATGAAAGTATCCCTAAAGTACAGCATACACACAGTCACACAAAACATATTTACCTCTCCCAACTGTTAGACCTGAGTTACTGAAGCAGCACCTATCTCTTGACTGTGATTTAAAGCTGCCTAGTAAATGGTTTTCTAAGACCCATCAGGCTTGAAAAGTGTCCATCTTCCACTAAATGTCCATTTGCCTCTCTGTCTCCCTCATCCATCTCCTTTCTGGTCCTATCCATCCAGCCCTACACCGATGCACATCAGGAGAAAAAGGCAACTGCCTGCTGAAGACAATATACTTCAAAGAGGCAGGAGTGCAGCATTTAATGCATTTCTTCCATTCTTGACCCTATTTGATCTCTTTATTTACAAATGAAATTGCGTATTTTCAGTTCCTACTCTAATACTTATGGGTTTATTAAAAAAAAAAAAAAAAAACCTTTATCTACATCTACCCATTCCTCATGCATTCCCCTCATGGTCCACATCAAAAATGTAACACTGTGCATAGTGAGAAAAGGAAACCACACAGCCCCCATTCCCACATCGCCCTCCCCAGTTGAGCCTGTGACCACATTCCCAGTGGGCCTCCCACGGCAGTCCTGAACGGTGTTAAAATACATCCTGGGATACAGCTACCTCCAACCCCTATGGCGTGTGATCATTGAGACTCCAAAGAGCCAAAGTAATAAGATTTATTACAGGGTCTCCACGACTGCCCAGCAATTTCCTGTCTTTTAGTCAACATAAAATTTAAACCAGAGTGACCTCTCCACAAATTAAACCAGCTACGATGAGTCCCCATTTCAAAGCTGATTTTGTCTGCTACTACTAAACAAAAGAGTATCACAGAGAAAAATGACTGGTGCTTTGTGGCTCTATAGAATCAGAAAAAGCATAAGCAAACAAAATCAACACTAGATGGTACTATGGAGACTTCATTCATTTTTAGAAAAGTTTTTAGGTATTTATTATGTATCAGACAATTAATATAGCTGAGAAAAGAGGCATAGTTAACACTTGTATAGCACTTCTATAGTGCTACAGTCAGATGTTTCTCTAAATACTTCAAATACATGAACTCATTTAATCCTTACAAGAAACCTAAGAGGGAGAGACTGTCTCATCTTTTCCATTTTTTTTTTAAAGATTTTTTATTTATTTATTTGTGATACAGAACTGGGGTACAGGCCAGAGGCTCAGGGGCGGTGAGAGGCTTCATCAGAGACAGAGCGGGGAGCAGAACAGGCAGATCGACGAAGT